TTTTTCCCCCTTTTGTTGTTGTAATTTTCATGTTTTAGCCAAAAAAATTGTTGTGAATAGAAGAAAGCGAGGTGACGATAGAAATTCATGTCTGTCAATCCACTGACTGTAACAGTGTGATGTTACTGTGAATCCCGACAGGTTCTGATCGCTTTCTCACTTCTAATTTCGTTCACTCTCACACACATTGTTTTGAATTGGGTCGTGTGCTAAATTCTTGATAATTCTGGATTATTTGTTGTTTTTATTTATTTGGGCAGTTGATGATCCTCATTGATATTAATGGGTAATTTGCATCTGAAACATTCATTGATGTTTTATATATCACCTTGGAGAACTGATGCCCTTGTTCTTTTTTTTTTTCTTCTTTTAAAAAGAATTTTATTATTTGGTTTTGCTTATAAAGATATGCTAATATATTGAGTGACCCAAATTACCTCACTATTTAACAATGTATATTTGCCAATAAGAGGTGAGACGTTGCCTTGCTTTAAATCTCACTGCTTGGAATGTGACAATGGTGGTCTTGCTAGATTATCTTTCTAAGTGGAAAGGCCTCTCACAATTGTCTTTCCACAAGAAATTGTTGTCTCTCTAAATTGTTGAGGTTGGAAGCAAGACATATTTTGTACCATCTCTTTGTTAAGCCAAGTTACATTGTTAATTAGTCTGATATTTTGGAATTCACTTGGTTTTTAAATTAATTAAAAATACATTCGTCTTTAATTTAAGGTCAAATGAGCTAAACACCCTTACAATGAAGAGTGTCTTAACTTTGCCACTCCATGTATACGAATATCTTAACAAAATTTAGATCCACACAATAGAAGGGGCGCTAATTACAAAACAAATACAGTAAAAAAACTTGGTAGAATAGTGCAGAACAGCCTTTTTGGGCTGTTCTACGGCTTGTTTTTGGGCCTCTACAGTCCATTATTAAGGCATTTATATATATATTTTTGAGATTTTGGGGATGGTCTTGTAGAGAAGTCTGCCTTTTTATTGGGTGAGCGAAACATTGGTCAGGTAAAAGAAATTCATAATTGCATTCTACTATACAGCAAACAGCAAATCAAAGATAAACTAGATTACGTGGAGGAATCATTAGGTGTAATAATATTCATATAAGAAACTCGTTTCTTTATCTTCAAATATGAAGATGCAAAAAGTTAGCTTTAGTGAAGAATTTGCTTAGAGTGATAGAAGTCTTTTAAAGATGAAAAATTGGTCATCTTCAAATTTGGATCTCCATTGGGTTTTTTTTTATAGAACATCTCTAAATCTTTAATCCATTTGGCCAAACCAAAAATATTTGAAGTTATAGTCAAAATTCTCTCCTAACTCTAAAAAATGAAGGGACTAAAATTTGAGAAAATTTAAATTTGAGGTCAAAAAGCGATTTAGTTATTGCTTGGATCCCAAAAAATTTCAGTGGAGCCCGCTTGTTTCTAAAGTAGGCATGTGCAAGGGAATTAAAATAGCGCGCATGCTGTAGTGGTTGTTGACTACCTGACGTAGGTAGTGTGCCAAGTGTTAGTTTGTGGTGATGTTGCTATTAGAATTCAACGACAATAATTCAATCTTCTTTTTTTTTATATATATTTTAATAATAACTTAAATCAACGATCTAGATTAAATTTAAGTTATTGGATTTTTTTTTATTACTATTAAAATAGTTTAGATTTAATATAGATTATTGATTTAATTTATTATTAGAATATAAAAATAAAAAAACGAAGTTTGAATTGTTGTCATTGGATTCTAATAGCAATATCACTATAAGACGACACTTGGCATGCCAACAACTACTGCAGTGAGGTCCTCATTCTGATTCCTTGGCTCTATTGAAATTGTTTTGAGTCTATGCAATAATTGGATTGCTATTTGGCCTTAAGTTTGGGTTTTCTCAAATTTTGGCCCCTTCATTTTCTTGGGTTGAGAGAGAATTTGGGATATTTTGTGTTTGGTCTCATGAGTTGGAGATGGCCCATGTTGAGGCTAAACTTCAATTTTCATCCTCCAAAATACAAATATTCATGTATTTTTAGGACTTAAATTTTTTTTTTCCTCCAAAGCATAATAGAATTTCACTTAAAAATAAAAACAAGTACAACACCATATGTAAAATATAGTTGTTGGAATAAAATAAAAAACAGCACAGCACAACTTTTGAAAATATAGTCGTTGGAATCAACTTGCACAGGGACTAGTTGTGTTGCACAACTTACTGGCCAGACAACAAACTTGTCACGCAGGGCCCAGCAATTTTTCGTCTTCACATGGGCTTTCAAGCAAAAAAAAAAGCGCAAAGTTTGGGCTCTACATAAAATACTAGTCCAGGCAAAAATTGGACTGGAATTCCACCCAAAATTTGACATTTCTCAAATTTACATCCCCCAAAATACACGGGTTGGAGAAAATTTTTGGACTCAAAACTCATAATTTGGGTTTTTACCCCTTGGTTATGGCATAAGAGCACATCCAATGGTGTATTCAATGGAGAAGAATTTGGAAACTTAGTTCTTAGACCATCTCCAACCATTGGGGTGGAAACCCAAATTTTCATTATTCTTCTCCAACCCATGTTTTTTCAAGGGTGGAATTCCAGTTCAAGTTTTGTCTGGACTGGTATTTTATGTGGAGCTCAAATTTTGCTTTATTTTTATTTTTTTGGCTTGAAAACCCACATGAAGATGCAAAATTGTTGGGCCTCACGTGATAGGCTTGCTGTCTTGCCAGTAAGATGTGCGACACAGCTGGCCTTTGTGCAAGTTGATTCCAATAGCTATGTTTTCAAAAGTTGTGATGGACTGTTTTTTATTTTTTATTTTATAATTCCAACGGCTATATTTTACATTAACGATCAGGATTAATTTTAGGCAATCTGAACCGTAAAATTTCACATCCAACGACTCAAATTTAAATCCAAAGGTCAAAGTACGATTTATAATTCATCTAAATCAAATCTAACCCCAAAACTTATTGGACTATATAAATATCCATTCATTTGGTAAATAATTCACCAAAAATCATTTTTTTCCTCTCTCCCTTTGTTATATTTTTTCATTCTACTTTCATTCTTATTGAGAATGGCCCCAAAACCCCAAAGAGGTGTGAATTGGAAACCACAAGAAGATGAGGCATTGTGCAAAGGGTGGGTTTCTATCTCTGAAGATGGGGCTCATTTTGGTTGCGTGTGTACAAAAGTTTTTGAAAAATGATCTGGGCATGAGCGGAGCCGAGATACGATCACCACAAGCTATTGCTTCTCGGTTAAAGATCATCAACCAATAATGTTCTCTATGGAAGGCATGTATGACAAAGGTCAATGCAAGACAACCAACAATCTTGAAGATGTGGAGCCACTCACATGCCTTGCATTGGCCTTTGTCATACATGTCTTCCATAGAGAACATTGTTGGTTGATGATCTTGAACCGAGAAGCAATAGCTTGCGGTGATCGTACCCTAGCTCCGCTCATGCCCAAATCATTTTCCAAAAACTTTTGGTACACACGCAATCAAAATGAGTCATTTGATTGATTGGTGCCAATAGCCCCATCTTCAGAGATAGAAACGCACCCTTTGCACAATGCCTCATCTTCTTTTGGTTTCCAATTCACCCCTTTTTGGGATTTTGGGGTCATTTTCAACAAGAAGAAAAAAATATAACAAAGGGAGAAATGAAAAAAATGATTTTTGGTGGATTATTTACCAAATGAATGTCTATTTATAGAGTTTGGAATAAATTTTGGGGTTGGATCTGATTTAGATTAATTATAAATATTATTTTGACCGTTGGATTTAAATTTGAACTGTTGGATGTGAAATTTTACTGTTCAGATTGCCTAAAATTAATCATAATTGTTGATGTAAAATATAGCCGTTGGAATTAAAAAAAATAATAATAAAAAACATCACATCTATTGAATTTTTAGCCGTTGGAAACAACTTGCACAAGGCTCTAGTTGTTTCGCACAACTCTGCTGGCCAGACAGCAAAGCTGTCACACGAGGCCCATCAAGTTTTCTTCTTCACATGGGCTTCCAAGTCAAATAAATAAATAAAAAAGTAAAGTTTGGGCTCCACATAAAATACCAGTCCAGGCAAAACTTGGATTGGAATTCCATCCCAAATTTGACATTTCTCAAATTTTCACCCACCAAAATACGTGTCGGAGAAGAATTTTGGACTCAAAACTGAAAATTTAGGTTTCCACCCTAAACCCTAAGCCCTAATGGTTGGAGATGGTCTTATGGTTCTTATTTTATATATTTGGATATTTAGTTTTTAATGTGTGGATATAGTTGTTTTTGATGATTTGCTATGGCATTGTGTTTTGTAGCTTTAATTAGCATTTAATTTGTATGAGAAAGAAAGCACTAATGGCTTGTTTGGTATCTAACTTGGATCCAATTTTATAAACTCAAAAACAGATTTTAAGTCGAAAACCATAAAAACTAGTTCTCTCTCTCTCTCTCTCTCTCGCGTCTTCTTTCTCCTGCCCACATCTTTCTCTCTCCTCCCTCTCTCTCATATATATATATATATATATATCTCTCTCTCTCTCTCTCTCTCGCGTCTTCTTTCTCCTGCCCACATCTTTCTCTCTCCTCCCTCTCTCTCATATATATATATATATATATATCTCTCTCTCTCTCTCTCTCTCTCTCTCTCTCTCTCTCTCTCTCTCTCTCTCTCTCTCTCTCTCTCTCCTTTTCTTTTGTTAATTTCAATTTGGGAATTTAGGGGTTTCTTATTTTAATTTCAATTTGTTTACATCTTAAAAATAGTTTAGAGTTCAATACCAAACAAGTTTTTAGATCTTAAAATCATTATTTGAAAACTCATGTTTTTAAAAAGAATCATAATTTTTGAATTTATTTTTTTGAGTAAGATACCAAACAGGATCTAAACATGTATTCAAGAAAACCATAAACAACATCATTTTCTTTCAAAAATTTAAAATTTAAATTAAAAAAAAATTTACATGAAAGAAAAAGAAGAGAACCAAATAGGCAAGAGCTTCAGACCAAAAAAAAAAAAAATAGGCAAGAGGTTGGACTTGGAGTGAGCCGTGGAACTAAGAAAATTGATCAAATGGCACAATATGCCTTGCCGGCATACTCAGTTTCGCCCACACTTTTCCGTGCATTAAGAAATTCCAAATGACTAAGAGGCTTGTAGAGTAAAGGGTGGTCCTTGTCCACCAGCTCATTTGGTACTCGTATCACCCCTTTGTATAGTGAAAGGACTCTGAAAGAATATCTTACCTCATTTTCCCTCAATGTGACTTTGTATCTATAGGGTCGGATTTGATCGTTGCTCCAAACCTAGACCAATCAAACAATGAAAATATCACTTGATAAATAGTTTATTTTTTTATTTTTAAAGAAGAAATTATACTTGTTGTTAAGGGTGAGCATCAATCTAACCGAACCGACCAAAATGTAGCAGCCGATTTGATTTAGTTTTAACCATATAAAAAGTCAAACGAACTGTTATGCTTTCGTTCAATTCTGATTTTGAGCTTTAATCAATTGGTTCGGTTTCTGTTTTGGGTAAAAATCGATTCAATTTGGATCATGCCCATACTTGCTGCAATGTATGTAAGTTCTATTTCATATGTAATCTATAAGCACTAACGTTGGGAAGCCATTAGAGCAAGCACAGCAACAACAAAAAAAACACACGAACTGGCCTTGGTCTTCCTCTCTCTATGCACTCTAATATAAATCTCTCTTGTATGGGTAGGAATATGAGTCTGTTTTCTGTGCATAAGAGTGTGGGGACCTAAGCCTTAGTTTTATAGGGTGAGAGCCTTGAGGTTCCTAGCCCATAAAGGAATCCTTAAAGCTTATCCTTATCACCCCATGAATCCATAGCCTAATATAATAGATATTCCACAAGTGAGATAGAGCTTCAACTCTATCAAACTTATCCGTGCATACCAAGCTTATCTTTCCCTCGTATTCTTGATCAAATTGGAATCCTAAATAGATGTGAACTCAAATAGAGTTCTTCCAATGTAAAGACTTAAAAATACATGGTAAATAAAGCATGAAGAAGTACTATTTGGTGGCATACCTGAAATGCATCACCTGCTATGAATACCACTGAGGAAGGCAGAGGATCAAAAGCTACCCACTCATCATTCTTTGTATTGATCTCCAGGCCATTGACATAATTCTGATGGAGGATGGTGGAAAAGGTCTTGTCTGTATGACTGCGTAAAACCATGTCACCTCCAAGTTTCTCGGGTACTTTGTATTTTATAAGCCGGAGATTGTGAAAAGTCAATCGGAATTGATCGTCATGGTACTTCTGTTGTGAAAAATGGACAAACACTTTCACTCACTCCCCTAATGATCTTGTTGTTGATGGACTTTGTGACACACACAATGATGGATGAATCACACACACACACACTTGAGACAAACAACCAAGCACAAAGTGACACAAGAATTTATAGAGGTTCAGCAATTGCCTACATCCTCTTGGTGATCCCCTTGAGAAATTCACTTCATGAAAGAATAAGTTACAACTTTGGTTTTACACAGAAAAACCCCCTTAGAACTCTATTCTCTCCCCAAGCTCTCTTTTCTCTCACACCCCTTGGTGTTCCCTCCTTGGTGTCTAGACTCTCAAGACCCCAACTCAGCTCTAAACTTGAACTGATTGCTCTCTCTCACGTTCTCCCTTGGTGAGTTAACCTCTTTTGAACACAATAGCTCCCAGCTACTTGACCACCTTGAGATTAACCACACCTAACTTCAACTTGCTTTCTCATCTTATAATGTCTTGCTTCATTCCCCATTACTTACACAGACCAATGGACATAAGATAAGGCACCATCTTGTCATCCACGTTCCTTCCTTTAGTCTCCCACTTAGACTAAAGATCAGATCATGCAAGTAAACAACTCCCACTTCAGCCACCTTCCACTAAACCAGAAAATGGAGAGTGAATCCTTCAAAGCAAGACAAACAATTGGCAATGAGTGCTCTCCCAACTATCCAGCAGGTAGTCCACCTTCTTTTACCTCAGAAGTGACCCATTAAGCACCTGCAATCTTGTGGAAAGCGATAGCCACCGAAAAAGTAGTTGAAAACACGTAAGAAACCATCAGCACAGCACAGGGGCGACCGGTCGCGGATACCTTGCGACCGGTCGTCGAGACCATTTGGATACCTAGCGACTGGTCGCAGATACCTTGCGACTGGTCGCTTCCTGCGAATTTTCCAGACTTCGACTCTGTCCAAAAACGACCGGTCGCCCAAACCTTGCGACCGGTCGCTGCCTCCTTCACTTGCAACCTTAATGTGAGCCAAATTTCCAACAACTTCTCCACACCATAGCTTTCAAATACCATTCCTGTCACAGCTTCATCTATCTCTGCCATCACTTCCGCATATAAATCAACACTCTCACTGTCCAACAAACAACAATTTAATTAATCTTGTAACCAAACTAATAAGCTCTATATAGTTCGAAATCGAAGTGGAAAGGCAAAAATATATGTAGAATACTTATACCGAAATTGGTCGTTTCCAGTTGGCCAAAAATGATGTGTGAAGTCCTGAGTTTCTTGAGGGTTTGTGCCATTAACAATTCCAAAGGTTTTCTGCCCAGAAGTGGAAGTATTGCCTTGAAGCATCCGAGCTCTTCGAGTGCCCGGCAAAGTGCCAGTTGAAGAAAATGGGAACCTTCCCCAATTCATTCATAATAGGACCTGCATTATATCCAGTTCACATGGTTATGGCTTGATGAATTTGGAATCTCCTCCAACAAAGTGAGGACTTCGATCCGTGATTTGGCCATACAATAAGACGTTGAAATAATAAGTCCATATGCATGTTGCCTGGTAGAGGGCAACAAGCATTATTTGTTGGCTAAGGCAAACAACAAATAATGGTAAGCTTTAAAGTCAACGTTCATTAGAAGTCAACGTTCATTTGCCTATTTAAAAGCCAACATTGTCAACTTGACTAAAAGCCTTGTATAATGATTGAAGAAAAAAAAAGCTTAAGAATATGTATGTGCGTTCTTTTTTGTTTTTTTTTTTCTGGATAACAAGCGATATAATTTTATTAGAACAATTAAAAAAATATAAATCTAGCCATTCTAATTAGCAATATGACAGACATGAGTTCTTAAATCAATGACAAAACCAACCTCTTAAGAATATTATTATTTTTAACATTTAAATTTGGTCAAGAACAAATTACACATGTGTAATGATGGTATTGAGTCACACGAAATTATAAGGATGTGAATATAAATCAAATGAACTTATAAATACAAGAATCTGATCAACTTTAGGCGACTTTGGATGATGTAAAAAGAAAGCTATTTTTCTTGCTTTTGGCATGGCCAAATTCAAAGGTGGTCATGCCTTTTGTAAAAGAAGAAGGGTTTCACGGGTTTTATCATTGCTGTACTCGTTTCTTGTTTTTGCTGTTGGGGGATTCATATTTATTTATGCTTCCTAAATTATGCTAGTTTTATTTAGAAAAATAGCCGTATTATACAATAAAACTAGTCAGACATGTCAAATTATACAGTAAAACTCTCAACAATAATAAAGACATACGATATCCGTACTAGCACATAACTTCACATCGAACAAATATAGGCAAGTGGCAGGGTTATTAGCATTTTCCTTTTGCCAAAGGTAGAGTCACTTTTGAATTTGCCCGCAAGAAAAAAAAATATACATATATATATATATATATATATATATATATATATATATATATCTTTGGCATCATCTGAATGACCAGCAAAACAAACAAGCAAGAGGAGATGAAATAATTTGTTCTTATTTAACATTTGTGACTCTTAGAGTCAGTGGTGGATTCAGAAATTTTCATTCTTGGGGTCAATCTTTTCCTAGTCCTTGAGCAAAACTAAAACTAAAACAAGACTCAAAATAATCTTTCCGAACATTTTCCACACAACCATAGAGGAGGTCAACAACGGACCCGTGACGCAGGGAACGACACCTAACAACGAGCAACGGCGTTGATCTCCTCGATCCGAAAACTTGTGAAGTTTCCAATAGATTCATATACTTGCGAGTACTTATAGTTGGGTGATTAGCACATTAATTTGTGTCGTTAAAATTAAAAGAAAAATAAAATAAAATAAAATAATGACAAAAATATTTATTTCACATTAAAAAAAAAAAAAAAAAAAAAAGGAAACAGGGGACTACATTAACTTTAAAAAAAATTAAAAAAAGAAAATATCATGGTGGGCTTCCTGATTCCATAATAGGAGCCTTTAGTTTGGTCATCTGGACTTCTTCTCTTAGGTTTTCATGCACAGCTTCTTAGGGCTCATCACTTGAGATCTCAAAGATCACACCCTTAGCTTGAGCATAACTTGGGTCGTGATCGCGTTGCTTGCATTTACCCGATCGATCCAGGGCCTCCAGCTGCTTTTGCATGTCTTGAGACTAAAAATATACCATCTTTGGTAGCTTTTGATTCTCTTCCTGCAATATTTCAAGTTGATGTTGATTTGCCTCCGTTGTCTTTGCCCTCTCCCTCTTCAAACTCCTTATAATACGCTGACAATCTTCAACCAAATTCCGCTATGCAACCAACTGGGCTCTTAGCACCTGTACCTAATGGGATTGCACAATGAGGCGATGCCCCACACTTATGACAGATGTCGCACTTTGCATGCTCAGTGACTTGGCATCACTCACCACCCTGTTATCATCCATCGTTCCCAGCAGGCGCACATCCCTATGAGTCACCAAACTCCTCGCAACTCCAACAACAACATCGTTGTCAAGGAGTAAAGAGTCGTTTACGGTAACTAGCCTCGTGAGGAAGCAAATTAGGGCATCCACACTGGTGTAGCCCCTTGCCCCATGCCTATGTTGGTGAAGCTAGGTTTAGGTCGAGAGAAAATGGGAATGAAGAGGCCATTTTGTTTCTGAGTTTGAGGAGATAGGTTTAGATTGAGAGAAATTGGAAAGAAGAAAATTGGCGGAGCTAGGTTTTTTTTTTTCTGAGTTGTGATTTTTTTCTCCCCTTGTTTCCTTTTATAGACGTCCAATATGACACTCGTTTCTGATTTTTCTCGCGTTCCTCGAGCTCCACACCCATAATTTCTGGCTGTCCACCTCTTTGATTTCCGCTCCGTGTTTTTCCACTTCGTGTTTTCTGCTCCATTTTTTCTGGCTTTCCACCTTGAGATACATACCCATGTTTTCTGGCTTTCCATCTCGACCCACTTAATAGGCTTTCCATCTCGACCCACTTTATTAAATGGGTTTATAACGGGCATCTTCCGCTCCGAAAAATTGTTTTATGTAAACATATTGGCTAAGTATGAAAAATGGTTTTTTAGAATAATCATTTTCTCAATATAATTTTTGGTGGCTTTTATTCCTTACACATCAAATAAGAAAACTTGATTTTATGGCATTTTAGTATGACGTATATATTGACTTAATGAGCCATCATTTTTGGCCTAAAATCGTATTTTATGCTAAAATCGATTTTCATATTTTGATTTGGTGAGAATTTGATTTTCTAGTATTTTTATTTGAATCCAAATGGGGGGTACTTCCTTATTTACATTATAAACTTAAGTAAATGGAGTAATATACAAATAAATGAAAGTAAAAAGACAAAGAAATAAGAAAATCTGTATCATTCCATAACTTTCTATATACAAACTAACATAAATCTTAAGTGGCACGACGTCGTTTTGACATCAAGAAAAACAAAATTGAGGCGCTAAGCGCTGCATGCGCCCGTGACAAGATGTGGGTTGTGGCTGCTACCTCTTTGGGGCATTTCATCAAACACCTTATGGGGCAATTTGTAGGGGTCAAGTTCTTGGCCTCTTATACTGAATGGATTCTGGGTTTCTTGCCCCTATGTGGATCCACCACAGCTTAGGGCATGTTTACTTACCAGGCTGCATCTTGGGCGTGAGAAATCATTTGATTTCCCATACTTAGTAAGTTCAAACATGGGAAGATTTCCTAACCCATTGAAAAATAGGCGGAAAATGAAACCTCCATCCAAGACAAGAACAAAATATATATTTTTATGTCAAATTTGCCCCTATTAACAATTTAAAATGGGATATGATTTCCCCACTCCCATTTTCTTCACTTACACTCCCTTTTGATTTTTAATACTTTTAATCAATTTTGTTCCTTCTCTTTCCTATTCTACCCTTACCCTACATTAATTTCTTTTTACTTCACTTTTATATTAGTTCTTTTTCTTTATACTTAATTTTCCAGCTTGCATTTCATTTTCAGTATATATATTTTTTCCTTTAATCGAGTAAGAAATTAAGTTTTTTTTTTCCCTTTAATACTGAAAATGAAGTATAAGTTAGAAAATTAAGTATAAAGAAATAGAAATAATATAAAAGTGAAGTAAAAAAGAAATTAATGTAGGGTAAGGATAGAATAGGAAAGAAAAAGAACAAAATTTATTAAAAAGTATTAAAAAGCAAAAGGGAGTGTAAGTGGAGAAAATGGGAGTGGGGAAATCGGCTCCCTTTAAAATACCAAGGTAATCATTAGTTACATGTTATTGGATATTTCTAATTTAAGGGTGTGATTGAAAAATTAAACAAATTTTGTTTCCAATTTCTACATAAACCAAACACAGAAAAGGAAATAAAAATGATATTTTCTACTTACTTTCTTAGCATTACCAAACATAGGAAATGAATTTTCAATTTCCCTTCTCCTACGAAAATACGTGGGGAATGATTTCTCATCAATTCTTTTTCATGAACTAAATGGGACCTTAGGGCTTGTTTGGTTCATGGATTGAACTTCCTGAGAATGGAATTCCCATGTCTAATCTCACGAGATGGGAATGGAAGATGTTCATGTTTGGGAACGTTGGGAATTGAGGACCAAAAAGGATAAAATGTTGTTTTCCTGAACTAAACCATAGTTGTCAATTTACCCCCTCACCTTTTTTTTGTTTGGTAAATTAAGAACTTAAACTATATGAAAATAGCCAATTTGGGACTCGCCATCATCCAAAATTCTGTCATGTGACTTGCACATGGTCAGTTTTTTAGTAAAAAAAAATGTTAAAGGAAAAAAAATGTCAAAAAATAGGAAGAAAAAAAAGTACCCTGCCCCGAGCTGTGTTCCTCTAACCCCGACCAGCAGCTCCCACCCCAGCCACAACATCAGCCCCCCATCTCCACCAGCCTCCTCCATATCCATGGAATTACTTACTCCGCCTGTAACACCCCACACCCATCTCATCCAATTTTCTCAGCCCACCCATATTTTCCTATCCCCAGCTCTGAGTCATCGCACCCACTTTGCATGAGCCTCATGTTGATGATTTGGCTCAACTTAAAGATTCCAATAGGGAAAGCCTATCTGGACAAAATCCAAAGTACCTAGATCCCCAACTCCCAGTAATTGCACCCACTTTGCAAGAGCCTCATTTTATTTTCTCTTTTTAAAAGAAAATTACCAATTTACCTCTAATATTGACGGAATTTTGGATGGAATTCAAAAAATTGACGGCAAGTCTCAAATTGGCCATTTTTATATAGTTCAAATTGGCAAAAAACAAAAACTGCATTTAATGCTTTCTCAGGTGCCAGAGGGGGGTGGGAATTTCGAAGGTGAGCCAAGAGTGATATTCCCGTATTATACGAAAACACTCTAAGACCAAGATGGACTATGCGACGTGAAACCCAAAGAATAATAAACGCACACACTACGAAGAGAAGTAAAGCAAACACATAAGACCACAAAAATTTATAGAGGTTCGGCCTCGCACCTACGTTCTCTTGGTGATCCACTTGAGAAATTCACTAGAATGTAAGAACAACCTTGGTTACAATCAATAACCACCTTAG